GAGTAGGATGGTGATAATTTAGGGCTGGAGGCAGTGAGGGAGGGGAATTGGACAGATGTTGGTCAAAGGATACAAAATGCCAGTTAAGAAGAGTTAGTACAAGAGATTCCACAATGGTGACTATAGTTAACATTAATGTACAATAATTTTTAAAATTGCTAAGGGAGTAGATTTTAAGTATTCCCTACCATTCGTACACAATAAGCATATGTTAAGTGCATTGAGTTATTCATTCCACAAAGTGTACATATTAGCATGTTAAAATATCATATCGTACATGAACATATACATTTTTATTTTTCAATTAAAATTAACTTTTTAGAAAAAGAAGTCTAGTATTTCCTACCTTTTGACCTGAGAATCTAACAGACCATCTACCATCTCTGTGAAATGGTCTGACGCTGGTGCAAAATGGAACAGCCAGGTAGCCAGTTTTAGGACAGTGATGTCCTAAGGGTAAAGATACACCAGTGGTTTCCACATCACAGAGAGGGTGAGTCTTGCTGGGCTGTCGATCAAAGCATTCTTTCAGTCTACTGTGGATGAACTACATCTGTCTGGCCTATCAAGTTTTTCCTTGGGCTTACCCTACTAAGTTACTCAGGGAAGAGAATCTAACTAAATGAAAGTATGTTCGGGGGGACAGATTTTGGTGCCTACAGCTTCTGTCAAATGAGGAACCACTGTTATCTCCATTTTCAGATGAGGAAACCAAGATAGAGATCACATGACTTGCACAAGCTCCGGTAAGAATCTAAGCAATGGAAACTATATAACCACTTGTTCCGTGTCCCTCCTCTAGGTCCTCTTCCACCTGGAGCATCTGTATCACATCACTGGGGTGTGCCCATGTTGACCTGTGTGTGAACAGAGGCATTCATTCTCCCCACAGTGCCTAGGGTAGGAGTGATAGCTAAGGCTGCATGACCCATTGATGGACGCACTTCTGGACAATCGGTTAATGTGCTGAATGCATGTTTCCCTGGAGTACATAGTGAAGTGGTCTTTCAGTTGTTTTCAGCATAAATAATCAGCTCTGTATCTGTACTGAACCAACAGCCAAAGCTGTTTAACTTTGTTCCTCAGAAAAATATGCTGCAAATAATAAATATAAGATTCTTAACCTGACTGCCAGAACATAACTTATTTATAAATTTAGGCTATCACTCATAGAAATTCCTATTAATGTTATGATAAGGAGTATTAAATTTTACTTAAAAGTCTTATCTAAAAGATAAACCCTCCTTGGGCTAGGGATTTAATGCAGTGGCACCATGCCTACCTGGAAAGTGCAAGGTTCTGAGTTCAATCCCTGGTACCAAAGGGGAAAAAAAAGATAACCCTCCTAGTTTTAAATTCCTAAAAAGTCAGTGACAATCTTTCTTATCTATGCATTACTTGTGAAGAAATACAGTGGGGAGTGGGTTTCTGGCAACCACAAATGTCAACTGGTTTTTTTCTTTGGCTGATTTAAGTCAGAAAAGGCTCATTCCTTCTCGAATTTATACATCAGTGAAGAGGCCTTCTTTTCTGTAGGAGTTGAATCACTATGATTTCTCACCAGCTTCTGCCATGTAGGCATTGAGTATGTGTAAGAAAAAAAATAATTATTCACTAACCATAGCCCAGAGTGGGTACTCACCACCAGATTTAGGATGGTTGGTTCCACAGATGAAAAGAAGAGTTTGATCAGTTCCATAGTTGAACATGAGGTTGAGGCGCAAAGAGGTGGAAGAACAGCCCTGAATTTGAGAAGCAAAAGGACACTGCTCAGCAAGTAAGAAATAAATCGATTTTTATATCCTAAGACTGGTTCTGCTTCAGGAAGACAGAAGTGCTTCATTGCTAAACAAATAACCCAAACATGAAGTACGCTTTATACAGTAAATATATTTGCTATCCTATTCTTAACAAAAGCCACTGTAGGTTTGCTTGGGCTTGTTTCTGTTTTCATTTGGCAGTACTGAGGATGGAACCCAGGACCTTTCTATTGAGCTCAAGTGCTGAGATTACAGGCATGCACCAGTATGACCAGCTTGCAGGTATTTTCAAAGCATGGCTTTTGACATGTCTATGCATTTACCTAGCCCAAGGTGAAATAGCTCAGGGTAAACTCTATCTTTAGAGGACACATCTGTGTGTGTGTGTGTGTGTGTGTGTGTGTGTGTGTGTGTGTGTCTTGCTAAGCAGATAAATTTCCCAAGCTAGTCTTCAATTTGTGATTCTCCCGCCTCAGCCTTCCAGAGTTCTGGGATTATAGTCTTGCTGTATTGCAACCCATATCACACACTATTGTTCCCTGAAAGGAATGGTTAACTTTGCTTTGGTCTAATGGTTCCTAAATTAGTACCTGTTTCAGAATCAGGTTCGGATTTTTAAAATTTCAAATATGTGGGCCCCACTCACAAATATTTTGATCCAGTTGAATTGATGTGGGTTACAAAACTCTACAGTTTGAACAAGCTTCACAGGTTGGAAAAATTTCCAGTGTCAGGAACTACCACTCTACTTCAGGGCTCAGTAAACCACAGCCTCCAATTTAAATACAGCCCAACACTTGTTTTTCTAAATAAAGTTTTATTGAAACACAGACATGCTATTCTTCAGGATATTATGTAGGGTTGCTTTCAGGCTGTAACGGCAAAGTTGAATAATTGTGACAGAGACTATATGGTCTACAAAATATCTATTATCTGGTCCTTAATAGAAAAGGTTTTTTGAACCCTGAGTTTTCCTGTTTCATAACTAATTTCCATGTGATGCTTTTTTGTGATGAGAACTATGTAAGGCAATGTAGATCATTAGTAACGAAAACAATACCTGGGCTGAATTCTTCTTTTTTAATTGGTGCATGTTTGCAGTACATAAGAATTATATTCATCATGGAGAGTTGGTACATGTGCTTAATTCATCTTAATTCTTTTTACTTCCCCTACCCTTCAACTTTCCTCTTCCTTCTTCTTTCCCTCTATTTCATAAGATGATCCTTTTTCGAACAGAGGAATACCAAATTATGTACTTTTTCCTGAATGATACTGCCCCCAAGTGGTAAAAGTGTTCAATCACAGATACTTAGCTGTCCTAATCAGCTACTCTGCAGCTATCTTGTTAACTCCTGAAATTAGAATCATCTTTAGGAACTTTATTGGAAGAAATTTTGGAAATACGAGTTTACTTGATATAAGAGAACATGAATAAATGACTTTGGAAAAGGTCAGCAACTTTTTTTTTTTTTTTTTTTTTTTTTTGGTGCTGGGGATTGAACTCGGGTCCTTGTGCTTAGCAAGGCAGGCCACCGAACCGCTGAGCTAAATCCCCGACCCAGCAACTTTTATGAGGACTAAAATGGCCTCTTTACAGTTTCTTTCTCTTCAAAGACTATAGTCCTCAACACAGCATTTCCAATTAGATCATGTATTCCAAGGTGATGAATTTTCTCAGGGACATCGTGACTGCTTGTGATGTCATGTCTGTCTCTCAAGTGGAAGTGCAATGCTGGTGATAAGGTCAAAGATTCCCAGTGCTTTGGGAGCTGTGACGAAGGGAAAGAGGCTCAAGCAGGAACACACGCTGACCTGCTTACCAAAGGGGGCTGTGTACCTGTTGGCCATAAGGAAACAGATGGCAGGGCTGAGACCATTGGGTTTTCAACCTTCACTGCTAATTAAAATTCTCTGTGGCACTTTTAAAAAAGTAATGATGGCCCAATCTTGGTCTCTGGAGATTCTGATCTAATTTGTATGGGGTGAGGCACAGACAGCTGGCTTCATGTGTTTTGAAATTCTCCAGATGATTGTAATTTGCAACCTAGGTTAAGAATAATGATCCTTGCCAGTCGTGGTGGATGCCTGTAATTCCAGCATTTGGGAGGCAGAGGCAAGAGGATTGCTGTGAGTTTGAGGCTAGCCTGGTATACACAGTGAATTCAGGGCCAGCCTGAACTCCAAAGCAAGACCCTGTCTCAAAAAAAGAAAAACAAAACAAAAACAAATGAACAAAAAAAAACACAGTAATGATTTTCCAATCTCTCAAATTTTAAGACATATTCAAATCACTAGGGCAAGGGAGGGGAACAATTTTAATCAGCAAATTGTAACTCATTAGGTTTGTGGTGGCACCTGAGAATCTGACTGCCAACAAGCTTCAAGAAGATGCTGATGGTGCAGTCTGGGGACCATGCTTTGAGTGGCATGGATTTGGATCATTCTTATGCAATCTCTGTGGTTCTGAGATCTTAACGGGCATAAGTATCATCTATGCTATCGCTTTGATCTTCTCATGTGTTTGGAAGGTGACTGTATTATGGGGGCACTGACGCTGATTTGCTGTTGGGAGTGGGGCCTGCTCAGAAGAGGCTGACTACTGGGGGCCTGCCCTGGAACAGTAGTTTCCCTTCCCAACTCCTCCCTTCTCTGTCTGCTTCCTGGGCACCATGAGGTGAACAGCTTTCCTCTGCCAGACCCTTTCACCACACCTTCCTGCCTTGGAGCTGACCAACTGTGGACTAAAAATGCAAACCAAAATAAACCTCTCCTCTTTTAAGTTGGATGTGTCACATATGGTGCGTCAGTGATGAAGAAACGACTAACACAATCTGGGAGCTAACTAAACACGCAAACTTGGGAGTTCCAGTCTAAGACTCAAATTCACTTTATCTCAATTATTAAGAAGCATCCCAATTCTGAAATTTGGTCAAAGGACCAAATATACCATAGCAGTTTTATGATTTTTGTGGGTCAGGAATTTGGGCAGAGGTTGTTTGATTCTGCTTCCTGTAATATATACGGAAGCCACTTAGCATTCAGCTACTGAGCAGCCTGGTCTGTGAAGTCCAAGGTGGAATTACCTCTTATGCCTCACATTTATCACTGCGGTTGCCATGCAGAAATTCTTTACAATTTTTGAACATGGGCACTACATTTTCATTTTGCAGTGGGTACCACAAATTGTAGCCTACTCTAGTAATAAGCTTCACCTTTAAATGGAAGAAAGGTTAAGCAATGTGGTCATCTTTACCCAGTGCAAGGCACCTGCCGAAGACTATTCCTCACCTCCATGTGCGTATTCAGAGTTACCCTTTCAAAATTCAATGTGAGATAGGTGAGTTAAATTCATCATAAAGAAGGAAAACATATTAATGGACTGGAAGCAGAATAAACTGTTATGTTTTAGGATTAAGAAACATTGAAAACCAACCACACTATTATTCTGAGTCTCTGCTAGTAGTCTGGATCCGGTCACTGGCTCACTTGGTTTGGGCTTTAGGCACTGGCCAGCAGTTACACAAGGTCAATGCGCACGCTGATATACACACAGGGAACTGGAGGAGAAACCTAGTGATCACTACTGGGGAAATGTCTCCAGGATCTCAGAAAACCAGGTTTGTGTTCCAAAGGTTATTAGGACAACTAGTCCATATGCTTTTTGAGAACTGGGCTTACAGATGGAGCCAGCGCTCCTTGTTGGCATGAATTTAAAAATCTGATCATGTCTAGGGATTATCCCTGGGCGTCTTAGGTTATAAAATTTTTCTTGGCTAGCACTATTCTTGCTGGTCATTCTGTCTACATGCATACTAAGAGACACCTCCTTTGGGGACACAGCAGGCATGCAGTACAGTATTTCTCAGCTTTCCCAGTTGGAATATGAACCAATCCCAGATCTAGAACCATGGCAAAGAAACAGCAACAGTGGAGTGCGGCCCGCCCTCCAGGAAGCCTAGGGTCGGGCAGGGACGGCGGAGCAAAGCCCCTTCCGGAACTGCCCCGCACCGCTGGCCA